GAGCCCCGATCATTCTCTCCGAGCTGCGATCACTCTCCCCGCAACTGACCGACTAACCCCCCGAACATGTTGTTATATGGTATGGAGTAGTTCTTTGGTCAGTTTGGGTTAGCTGTCCTAGCTGTGCTCCCTCCCAGCTTGTTATGCACCTGGCCGAGCAGGAGAAGCTCAAAAAGTCCTTGAGCAGTCTGAGCACTGCTTGGCAACAACTAAACCATCAGTGAGTTATCAACATCCTTCTGGTACTAAATCCAAAACACAGCACTCTGCTGGCTACTAGGAAGAAAACTAACTCAATGCCAGCTGAAACCAGGACACCAGGGTACTGTGGTTTGGTGCTCAGCTTCTGGATTGGAGTGGTGGTCCCAGTTCAGAGACATGGGACAGGGGTCCTGTGTGAGTCGGGGATGTTTGGGGGGGTCCTTGCTGAGACCCTCTCCCCCCCGAGGCTTTTGTGTCAGGCTGCTGCTGCCTGGGGCCCCAGGCCAGCCTTCCTCCCCACATGGCCTCCCTCCTCCTCCTCCAAGGGTCCCTGGTCGCTGCTGGGCCACTGAGGGGGGGGTCTCCAGCCATCCAAACCTCCCCCTCTCCTGCAGCAGCCCCCTGCTCGCTCCAGCCCAGGCCAGCCCCTCCCGTCTGGGCTGTATTAGCTGATTTTCTACAATATCCCCCGTACCAGCACCTGCCCGCCCCTTCTCACTTGGAAGTGGCTCCTGGGCATCCCCATCCCATGGGTTTGGGTCCCAGAGCCTCCCCCTCACTCCCCCTGGCCATTTCTGGGAGCATTTTTGGGGTCTCTCTGCCCCACCCTGGGCTTTCCCCACCGCGTCGTCCCGGAGCACACGCCAACGCCTAGTCCACTAATTTTTTAATCGCCAGAGCCCCACAAGCGATGCTCTCGCAGTGGTTGTGCCCCTCAGTGCCCCAGCCCGTGGCACCTTTTCGGGGTTCACAAGGGGCTGCCAGCAACCGGGGGCTTCTCCCCACCATCCTCATCCTCAGCGGCCGCCGTGTGCTGCTCTTCCTCAGCCCCTTCAGGCCGTCCCTGGTGTGATCCAGAGGTGTCCGACTCGGCCGATGCCGGCATCCTTTGGCTGCAGCTCTTTGAACCGCTGCCTTGCGGCGGGATTTACCGGCTGGCGAAATGCTGCTGCTAAATCAGCGGCGGGGTTGCTCCCTTGCATCTGTGCTGACTCAGCGTTCGGGCCGCCGGCTCGCCGCAGAAGTGCTAAATATACTTCTGCTGGGGTGGCAGACGGGTCCTTGCCATGAGGTCCTTGGGCTACCAGCCCCTGGGCTACCTGCTGTGCCCTGGATCCTGCCATCTGGGGGTCCCCAGGCTCCCCCCTCGCTGCTCCCCTGGTTTGCACCAGCTTTATGGGCCAGGGCTGGGGGTTCCCAGGGTCTGTGCACCCACGGGGCTTGTGGTCACCCTCCATCGCCTTCATCGTTGGGTTTAACGGTTGGCCTCGATGATCTTAAGGGTCTTTTCCAACCTAAACGATTCCATGATTTTAAGTAGCAGAGGGGCTTGGAGAGCTGGGAACCATCGGGAGAGATGGAGAAGGGGGGTTGGACTAGATGACCTCTAGGGGTCCCTTCCAACCCAAAACATTCTATGATTCTATGATTCTATGAGAAGGACCCGCAGCCCTTTGAAGACCACGAGGAGCATCAGGAGATCACCTGGAGGTCTCAAACGGGGGGTTGAGACTCGGGATGGACACGGGTGGTTCCCCTCTCCTCCGCCGCCGCTCCCAAAGCTGCCGAGCCTCGAGACGCGATTCCCCGGTGTGGTGGGGGAGCCCCCGCGGGCAGCGGAGCGGGAGAAGCTGAAAAGGCCTTGGCATGGGGACAACTGAGGCACCCCTGGGTGCCCAAGCCCTGTCCTCAGCCCACATCCAAACCGCAAGCTGCTCTGGAGGATTTAACTCTATCCCAGCCCAAGCCAGCGCAGGAAGGAAGAAGAAAAGCAAAACAGACTTGTGGGTTGAGATTAAAAAAATCATTTAATAAATGAAGAAGTGGAAAAAGAGGAAATGAAAACAAAGCCACCAAAGCAAACGCCGCCAAAGCCGTTGCCCACCGTCTCCCACCGCCCAGAGCAGAACCTGGCCCAGCTCCCCCAAGCCCCGCGGGACTGGGGACGGCAATGCCATCCCCGTGCTCCCAGCACCGCTGGGGTCATGACTGGAGAGCCCAGCACCGTGCTGGATGCTACCAAAAAACCCCAACTCCATCCCAGTCAAAACCAGTAGACCCAGCAAGTCTTCCCTTCCCTGCGCTTGAATGCCATAGCAAGAAGAGGTTGCGCATTGCTTAGTCCTGCCTAAAGGCTCTCTAGTCCTGCCTAAAAGCTCTCTAGCCCTGCCTAAAAGCTCTCCAAGTCCTGCCTAAAGGCCCTCTAGTCCTGCCTAAAAGCTCTCTAGCCCTGCCTAAAAGCTCTCTAGTCCTAAAAGCTCTCTAGTCCTGCCTAAAAGCTCTCCAGTCCTGCCCAAAAGCTCTCCAGTCCTAAAAGCTCTCTAGTCCTGCCTAAAAGTTCTTCAATCCTAAAAGCTCTTTAGTCCTGCCTAAAAGCTCTCTAGTCCTAAAAGCTTTCCAGTCCTGCCTAAAAGCTCTCTAGTCCTAAAAGCTCTCTAGTCCTG